AGGCTGTAGGGTCTAGACACATTATAGCTGGATAAATCATTTTGTAAATTCACAGTATTTGCATTGCTTGTTTTCTCCAATATAATACTTTTTTTTATTGATTGTGAGCTGTTGTACTTAAAAGCTCAGACTTCTGACTCACCCTAATGCTCATTTTCAGACATGGTTTGCTCCTCTTGGCTCTGTATGATGTCATCTTAGCTCTGGCTGGAACACAGAAGCCCCAACCACCTGCTGTTCAAACCTTGTGTTTACATGGGGATGCCAATGAGAAAAGACCTAACTTAATGAGAGGGAAGGGAGCTAAACGGCATGTTTCAGGCAGAGGAGCTGCACCAAGGCCAAGTATGAGATAAATATGCATTATTTTGAAATGGGAATCATGCAAAGCTACTCTATTAGATTTTTTTTAGAAAAAAAACAAAACACGGAGCCTTTGTGCAAAAAAGCATATAATACTGTTTGTATCATAGTATCAGTTTTCTCCTTGCATACAAAATCTTGAATAATCAGGTCTTAAAGACCTCATTAAGTATCTTATTATCCTAACAGAGCACTTCATAGTTCTCTTCTTAATAATAGTTTCATTTATCATACGGGTCAAAAGCAGAGAAAAACACAATTAAACCCCAAACTAACCACAAATGAACTGTTGCACATACATAATTTGATGCTATTTGTGTGCACAGTACACTTTGATAGCATATAAATAATTAGTAGTTTAGATTTTTCCTGCCATGTTAACTGCTTGTGTTGACCTGTATGTCTGACAACAGATTAAAAAAATAAAGTCAAGCCAGTTTAATTAACCCCTGGAGAGATATTACAGAGTTTATTGACTGGAGCTGAACTGAATTAATTAAGTAACTCATATAAGTGTCATCTAGGACCACATTTATAATGTGTTTAACAAGAGATTTGCACATAACTAAATTTAAATGGGATTTTTAAAACATAAATTAATGGTTGTGATCTAAGTGCACAAGCTAAGTGGCAAATTAAAATTTGCACTGCGGTGTGGCAGCAATTTTTCACACCAGTCTATTAATTAATGAAAGACCAAGACAGACTTTTAATTCATTTGAAAGCCTGATGCTTAACATTGT